AAATAACTTTCCCACCTGGGAGGAAGTTTTCAATACTTTAATGCGACAAAAATGCCCCTTTTAATAATAGATTTTTATGGTTAAAATGGTCATTGCCTTTACATTTACTTGGATAAATAACTTACCGAAAAACAACCAGGGCCTAATGTATTTGGTAGTATGGTGTTAAAGAGATGGACATCGTAAAAAACCAGAACTGAGAACCCGCCTTTTTAACCTTACTTGATGAATTTGGTAGTATGGTTGTAGTGTCCTAAGCATCCTTGATCGTGTTCATCAAACCTTGAATAGGGGAATAAGAGAAACATCAAAGGAACAAGAGATGCAAAAACCGGGAACTACGGAGGAAACTTAGACACTGCTATTCTTGTAAGATTAAACCTAAATGTTTAGTCTTGAACATAGGGGGCCTTTTCCTTTTCTTTGAAACCTAAGAACCCCTTTTCTCTTTTCTACTAGAAGAAAGAGGAAATCAAGTATTGGAAACTCAAAGAGGCTAATTTAGATTGGGATTTCTACTGCAATCAATCTAGGTAAGTTATTTTTGTTCTTTAAATCATTTAGTTTTTCTTTTATTGCATTTTAGGGTTAGATTTAAATCAAGAATTAGGGTTTTTTTTTTGCTAGACGTTTGTTTTCCAGCTACTTTCCGACAAAGAAATTCTAATCAAAACCCCATGCCATTAAGATCAGAACAAATCCAATCTTGTAGCATTTGGGTTTGTAGATTATGAATTATGTTAAATTTTAGATTGTAAAGGCATAACATCATTCAACTTTAGGCCATAAGAAACTAGCCCTCCAGTAGCATTTCTGACCTGATTTTGATTTCAAATCAGGTGAAAAGTTATGGTCTTACAAAGTTGGCATTCTAAATGGGCTGGACCTAGAATTCCACATATAATGATGATTAACCGTTTTATAATATTTATTTGTTAATTTCGGTTTTATCTTATAGATGGTCACGGGGAGTCTATATTTGGAGTATAAATTCATGAATTTTGTCCTTAGAAAATAAGGTATAAATGTTGGAAATTGGTCTCAAAAGCTTATTATCTAGGTGGCCGAGGGTGGGCATAGTGATCCTGCAAGGTGAGAGGGCACGTCAGAGGCCCCAGGTTGTCACCCGAGGCAGAGAYTCTGATAGTCAAGTTAGTATATCTGTACGAAATAGCCGAGGCTTGAGGTACGAGTACTCAAATGAGGCCACAAAGTACGATAAGAGATCTTAAAGGGGAGTTTTGAGAGTCTTAAGTTCTGGGTCCCCTTACCTTAGTGGGGGGTACCCCCTATTTATACTTGAAGTTACCGGGTCATGACAAAGTTCGGGCGGTTGAAATGAAGTCTGTACACGGGGAGCAAGTCCATCTAAGGCCGTCAAGTGACACTGCACGATTGGTTCCACGAGGCCCGCTGGACTCCTCCCTGAGTGCATCGTGATTGGCCCCGCAAGGCCCGCCAAGCTCAGCTCTGCCTCTGCTTTGATTGACTTCCGCCCTGAAATGCGCTGATAGGCACGTGTAAACCCGCCATTGGTCTAGCCGAATGCGTCTACATCACTTTTCTTTGCAGAAAATGTGTTATTCAATGTAAAAAAACTAATGTTTACTTTTGGGAAGAGTATGAATATATAAATACGTTCGGTGCAAAAGAGATGAAAAATAGTATTTCTATATCTATAAATGCAGTATCTTTAAACCTTATATTTGTATTTTTACTTTACTATTCTTCTCAAACTAAGCCATGAAAAGTGCAGCTTGGAAATGTTAACTAGCCATATGTTGGACTTTAAAACAAAACCATTTATCATTTAATTACATTGCGACAGCTGAAGTCTTGTCCAACCGTGGGAATAGAAGGAGATTTAAAATCGGGAAGTAGATGTGCTAAAATGACGCAAACACCCGAGGTGTCTCTCTTTGATGGTGTTTGGTTGTGTGCTTATTTATTTGAAAAACGGTGTCAGGTCATCACCATCACCATGTAAGCATTGGATGAAACACCACTATGTGGTAAGATCATTCATTAAATAAATGTTTTCTTGGTTTATATGAGAACCAACTGTTGGAAAAACACTATTTTAATATTTTTCACAACACCCAACTGTTTATTTGCTATTGAGCTTATGTAAAACCTAATAGCGCCTACCTCAAACAACACTAAATAAACATTTATCATTTACTTTTTCATTTTTTAAGATAAAAAATTATAAAATGTTTATTAAAATAAACAGTCTATGTTTTATTTGTAGTTACGTTTCAGTTAGAAAGAAGAACTCCATTCAATTTAAATTTATTTATTTTAATCAAACAAACAAAAAATGACAAGCAAATGTGTTGGCTTGATTACTAAGGGAGTGTTTTACAACATGGTTGTTTTTGTTTTTGAATACAAAGAACTACTCACACAGTATAATTTTTCTGATGTGGTAGTTTTTATTTTCAAAAGCAAAACCAACCATCTTGTCTAAGAAACTTACAATTTTATGGAAAACTAAGTGTTAAGAATATGAGAAAGCGGCTTTTAACGTATGAGCTCTTGCCTCTTGATGTTGAGTTGTTTGTGGATGTTTTGAAAATTTAAAGAATAGTGAAGGACATCTTTATCCTTTAATTAATATTTTTCCATCAGTTTTAACGGTTAAATATTTCACAAAATATATTTTTAAGTAGTCTTATATAATTAAGTAAAAACATATGGTATATTTAAGCAATTAACCCTTTTATATATTATGGGATCTATCAAGAATCAACAATCAAAAAAGAGTTCTTCTCATACTGCAGAGCACGGTTTAACCAGGGAAGCACATGCCCGGGGCCAACCCGATGATAGTGGCAGACAACTCCAAAATGTCAATTTCAAGGAGATCCGATGGATCTGTCGGTGCCTCAGATGAGACAGGATGGACCCTCCACCCCACAGCCCATTCCGCCCATGAAATGGAAACATCTCCCCATGACAAGCGTGGGAAATGTTTCTAACACACTTCTTTTATCTGCTTCTAGTGTCAAGATGTATGTCTACCAGTATAGCTAGGTCCAATCCATATTTGTTACGACAGTATTGTAGCCCAGCACTGAAACAAGTAAATCAAAGCTTTTGATTTGCTGTCACGGTCCCATCTTGAATTAGATTGAAGGAAATGGGCTTCTTTCTATCAGAGCAAATTTGTGTTCACACCATTCTAATAGTCTTTTGCAATCTTGTATTAAGAATATCTCCTCATAAAATAAGGTACAATATTCTCAATGCAAGGCAGTAAAAACTGCCTAAATGGGCTTTGTTTGCCCTATGGTTTTTAAAAACGAACCGGTCAGGGGTCCAGTTATCGGTTCGAACGGTCTGACTGTTCGACCTAAACGGCCAGCCTATTCTGACAAAAAATTTTAAAAATTAAAAAACGGTCAAAATCATTCGAACGGTTAACCGGCTGATGGTTCAGCGGTTTGATGACCAAAATCAACGTTTTGAGAGAAAAAACGATTTTGGAAGAAAACAAAACCGATCAAGTGACCGGTTCCTGGTTTTTCTGGTCTGACCATCCGGTCCGGTCCAGTTTTGAAAACAGTGGTTTGCCCAAAGTGAAGCCGAACTCATTCGAGTGGATTTTCACACAAAGACATTGTGGCGTTCAAAATCCAAGATGGGTCCCACATGGAAAAGTAACTAACCTTAGCTTGAAGCCATGTGTAGTGAAAAAATCCAGGAAAAAAAAAAAAAGTGCGTATATGAGATGGGAAATGGACTTTCTGACAAAGCTATTTTTGGTAGTTTCTTGAAAGAGGTTCACTTGGTCCAAGCTAATAGGGTCTACACCAGCTCCTCCTCACTTTCCAGAGACGCATGTAACATGTTCACAATGTACGACTGATGTGTGGAAAGGAGATCCGATGCATGTAACATAGTAACCTCGAGTACGGATCTCCTTCCCATATAAACTCTGTCCAAGTTTATCAGTCACACATGGACAGAATTCTCGTAGGCAAGACATCCGGACTCCAGATCAATGGTTTGGTTGTTTGAACCTATCCATTGCTTATATATATAGAGAGAGAGATCAATGGTTCAATTGAAATCTTTGCACACTACTACTTCAATGTTTGAGATTAATTCATTGATCTTGAGAGACCATGATGCATCATTTGGGTGGGCCAGATTAGATGGAATCTTGGTAAACTAGAGATATTTGGATGGTTGAAATAATTAACTGATGTGTTATTTATTTCGATGGCCCAAATTAATTTCAGATGTTGATTGATGTATACTTCATTTGTCAGTATTTTCTAGAATTTTTAAAATAGTTACTTGAATTATGAGACTGGCGGAAATCTCGGTCATTCACACACATAAGACAATAAATGAGCAATTTCATAATTATCCACTCATTGTTAACAAAGTTTAGATCAAGAGGTTTTCCCTTAATTATTTGGGTTCCAAAAACAAACATTGCCAGCAACGTACTCATTTTCCCAGTCAAGACAGTTTTAAATAATTGAGAAGTTGTTATAAAATTCACCATTAAAATATTAATCATTCTATCAAGGATTAATATAGCTTTGCCTATTCTAGCAAATGATAAGAATGAATGATAATCCTGATTAGAAATTTTGATGGATTTGGCCTTTGGCCTTGTCATTGATCAATTTGGAAAAATTGTGAATGATTTAAAATAGAGATTGATTTGAGATGGCTAGGAAACTCGGGGAAGAGATAGAGGGAGCTATCCAATGCAAATTATCTTCCACAGTGTCAAACCTCGGAATTAAAGGAATTAACCATTAAATATCTGTTTGGTATACCCTTGGAATTAAAGAAATTGGCTTCTGTCCTTACACCCATCAAAATTCATCCAAACCATCCACCGTAGGGCTAACGCTAAAACTCAAGTGAACAGTGTGACTAAGTGGTGGATGTTCCATTAAGTTAATTTGAACTTAACGTATCCACTAAAATCTAAATAATATTGCATATTAAAATTAAGCTCATTAGGATATGATCAAAGTAATATTTATTATTGATAAGCTAGTGGTGCATAAAACATTCAGTACAATAGTCCCTTTGATATCATTCTATGGTTCTACATTCTCGCCTTTATCATGCAAATTTTTCTCAATTAATTCATTCGCATTCTCCTTCTCTTTACCCCATAAAACCATGTATAGGCCTGCAAATATCAAAACAGCTCCAAGAATACTGCACAGATTCAAATAAATAAATAAAAGAATAATGAAAACAAATATTCATATATTTGTGAAATTTGATTTAATTAGGGTTATGTTTGGTTTGAAGGAAAAAGAAGGAAAAAGCAAGTAAACCTTTACAAACTCTGTATAGGTTTTTATATCTTTCCCTTCTTTTCCCTACCTTTTTCTTCAAACCAAACCTAGCCTTCATGAAATCTTATAATAACATATTTACCTTCCCAAGTGTAAAGCTTCTTTCAGGATAAAAAGTCCCATAACAGCTACAATTATTGTCCCTACTGGTCTGAAAGCACTCACAAACACTGGGCCTCTTTTCTGAATTACTAACGTCTGAATGTACCTAGTTACTCCAAAGACCATGACACCCTGCAAAGCACACTTGTGGTTATGACTTTTCTACAATATTCTAAATATATATACATACATACATACATACATACATATATATGAGAAAAAAAATTCATATGAAAAATGCCTAGGTGGCTATTCTAAATATAGCATAAAAAAATATAGAGGATGTTGTTGAAATGGTTGAAGGGATGAATATTGTGCATTAATTATATGACATCCATCATATATGTTAAAAATTTAGAAGTTGATGATTGAGACCTCCGAAGTTTGGTAATTGTAATCACTTCTGAACTTTTTGATATAGTTGCAAGTAGACCCCTCAGGTAGAATCTTCTAAAGAGAGGCATGAAAATGTTTAAAATACTCATGTAGTTTCTTTTGACAAAAATATTAATTTATATTCCAATTTTTCCCTTCATATCATCATATGAATTACTACACCAAACCCTCCTAGTCTCTTTTCTGAAATTGATTCATTTTTCAAATTTGTCCAATGTATCAATCACTCAAGGGGCTGTAACTTTAAATTCTTTGTTTTTATTGTTCATAAAGTTTGTCATGTCTTTTGGTATAAACAAGCCTCAGTAGTAACTACATAGGTTTTTTGGATATTTTCATACCTTCTTTTAGAAGATTTTATCAAAACGGGTTTACTTGCAACTGTATCAGAAAGTTCAAGGGAGGTGATTGTAATTACTAAACTTCAGGAGAGGTGTCAGAAAGTTACCCTTAATTTAATAAGGAAATAAGTTTTGGTCTATAAAGGCAACAAATTCAGGAAATGAATATAACTGTAGTGGTAGAGGTGTAAAGTGGGCTGTGCCACCCTCCCTGGTGAAAATTTTGGGGGTCGGCCTGGCACGGCCCACGGCTTGGGCCCGTGCCGTGCCGCAGGCCAGGCTGGCCTATGGGTCGAGCCTTGGGCCAGGTCGGGCCGTGCATCGAGCCAAAGCTATTTATTTAAAAAAAATTGAAAAAAAACTTAAAATTTTAATTTTATATGAATTTTGTGTATAAAATTGCTTATATATATGCAATAATTAAATAAATTAGTATAATAAAATTTTAAAAAATATTTATTTTATTAATATATTATATATTATTATATAATTATAAATTATATAATATTATATAACTATATATAAAAAACATATAATATAAAATATATATGGGCTGTGCCGCGGGCCATGTTGGGCCGGGCTACGGGCTGGGCTGTGCTGACATGCGAACCGCGGGCGGCACGGCATGAGCTGTGCTGGCCCGTGGTCCTCGAACCCCCAGCCCATCACGGCACGGACCTTCATGTTACACCTCTATGTGGTGAATGATAAGACAAAAAAATGGATAGAATTAAAAGTAAGTACGTTAAAGAGGTTTCAGCTGTAATCAAGAGAAAATGATTAGGGGGTCATTCATGTGCTGGTAAGTTGGGGTGAGGGGAAGTTGATCAACAAGGACCGATAAGTGTAAGGCCCATAAAAAGTGAAATTTTTATAGTAAATTTTTGGTCCACATTTCTGAATAAGTTTTACCACTCTAAAATAATTTGGAGAGTTGTCTCATTATGTTTGAAAAACGATGCAAATAAGTGTGAATGCAAATATGTAGAGTGTAAAACGGTCCATATAAATTGTAAAGTTGGGTTAGTTTTGCATTAACAAATTAGTCTTTTTATCAAACAGACTTTTAGGTATAATGGATGCAAATATTAATTCCAATAAAACATTAAGCATATGCCTTTTTTTTATCAAAAGTCCACTTGAATGCAAATTACTTCTTTTTTATTGATATACTTTTATATCTTATTATCAATGTAATATGCACTGGAAAATGTATTTTCTGTCATTTGTCAATGCATAAATGTAATGTTGCCAAACACAAGGAAAAGTGAAATAGGGTGCAAATTTACCCTGAACCGGGATTTACACTCCATTTGCATCATTTCTAAACGCAGCCAACATTTTCAAGCAAAAGAATGCAGGTAAATGTATTTATTTTAGAAAGGAGAAGAATAGAAAATGTTGGTTGAAGTGTTACAAAATAATCTAGGGAGAATGATGGTTCAACCCAGGGTCAGAATTTTTAGGCCCAAAGTAATGTTGGTGGGGTGGGTGCCAGCTCGGAATTGATGCCAATTCACAGACGGGCATTGATGTATAAAGTGGGGGTTTTTGATATTTTGAAGATTTATAACCGTGCAGTGGGAATCAGAAATCTGCATTGGGCATGTCGATACTTCTCCGAATAATCTAAGGACTTGCAATCTGACAAAAAGCACAAAAGCACAATTCTTGATAAATTACAACGGTGTGACAGGATTTGAATCAATGTTTTAAAAAGCGAGCAAGATAGGAACCACTTTGACCACCAACCATCTGGTTCAAATGGATGGTCCATTGAAAATTTAAAAAAAAAATAATTAAAATAAAAAACAGCTAAAACCATCATCTGGATTGAATGGATCAACGGTCAACTACTCAGGTCAGTGAACTGCTGACTAAATCAACGGGAACAGTTCAGGAATGAAACAGAATCAGTTAGACAATTTGAAAACCATGGTTCATGTAGGTGACCCCAAATAATTGAAATCAAACTTAAAGTTCTATCAAGTAAATGGAAGAAATTAAGAAAAGTAAGAAATAGGGCAGAATGGTATATAAAAATGAAATTCAAGTATAAAAATATATAGAATTACTTTTCTGTTTGGATTTATGAAGATTATTATAGTAATACGTAACATCCTATATATGAATCATTTTCTAATACCATGTTTATATGTAGTAAATCAAAATTCAAGATATATCATTTTCCAATTCATACCTACAAATTGAAAAGCAAAAGAATCTTACACAATAAATAGGGGCCAGCAACTTAATATCCCAACTCAACCTCCATGATGAAGCTTTACGATCAAAAATTGTTGTCATTACTGCTGCTTGTACTGCTCCCATTAAGCATGTCAACAATGTAAGAGAGATTGGAGCTGAATATAACTTAATTGTTGTAACCTGTAAATTAAATTAATAAAGTATTAAACTTTCATAATAAAATAATAAATTTATTTATGATAAAGGGTGACATAGACAAATTCCTTTCAATATGGGTTATTAATGATCTTGTTTCTAATATTGCACATTTATCTTTAATACTAAAAATCACTAATTCCCTAAAACTAACCTATTATGCAATCAACCATCATACTCAAAACTAATTATTAGTCATTAAATTAATATTCAACTTTTCATTCCACGCAAAAAAAAAAGTGTTGTATTTAATATTTTTTAAATACATAAAAAATTTGCTTTTCAGAAATAAATGAGAGAAGTCCAAATTTAAATGAGCAATGTTATAGTATAGTGTTTTGTAGTGTCAATGCCACAAAAAGTATTATAGAAGCAAGGGGTGTAATTGGGTCGGTTCTCATCGGGTCCAACCACATCTGAATTTGATCAAATTATTGAAACTTCAAATCCAAATCTGAAGTAATATAGTAAGATCAAGTTTCAAACTTTTGAAGCCTATGGAGAACTTTAATATGTTTTTATTAAATTTTGCACCTTTAGGATGTATCTACCTTGCCCTAATAGCACTTTATGTAAATTGTAAATTTAAGGATTGCTAACATTTACAGCTTACAATGTTGTGGTAACTTCGATATTTCAAAACACTAGTGTAAGGGCACGTATTATGCACATGTGAAAGGTAAAGATATAAAGGATTATATGGTACAGTAGTTTGATATAAGTTTTAAATAATAATAATAATAATAATAATAATAATAATAATATATAGAATCATATAATTTGATCTAATAGAATATATCTATATCTAATAAGATTAAATGTACAAATATACTTTTAAAATTTTCTATACTAAAAATAATAACAAATTTTCTAATTCACATTTTTATATTTAATATAAGGCATATATACTTTCCAAGTGCTTGAAGTTATGTTCTATTTTATTTTATCTGTTATACTAATCAAAATGTTACTACTGATTGTATCTACATGCATCATAAATTATAAAAAGACTATTAAGAAAATTGCTAATTATAAAAATTGTGAAACTTTTTTACGAGGTAACCAATTTAATTTAATTCCATGAAAAGTATTGAAGAATAGTATCCTACATATATATATATATATATATATATATATAAACAATAACATCATAAAATAGATGGCAATCAATTTTTTTTTTTTAATCTTTGGATTTAGAAATTACCTGTAATATATAGTAGGCTGCTTGTGAAAAATTTGAAACAATAAGCAGAAGGGAGCCTTTCACCCAATCCTTTTCCAATGACGCCATTGGTTTGGTAGAATGTGTTGAAGAAAGTGAAATTACAATGGTACCCTTGTATATAATCATGATTGTAGCACCTGCAAAAGCTATAAGAGTTCCACCTATCTTTAATTGGCTGCTAGATTTGAAGATATTTAATTTCTCCATCCTGAATTCAAAAAATCCAAATGTTAGGGTCTATAAGAAAAGCTAAATATGATATTTTATAAATAATCATATATTTGAAATTACCAATAGAAAAGTGAACGAAAAACTAGAGCCAACAACGGGTCAGGTCTACCGACCGATAATATAGTTTTTTTCTATATAAACAATAATATAGTTAATAATATATATATAAAGGTCTCCTTGTTTTTTTGCTATTTTTATTAAAGGGTAAAGTAATTATAGAGAGTATATAAGATGGCTTTGGTTAAAAATACATGTTTTATCAACACATAAAAAGTTTATTATTTTTACTGTCATTTTATTAAGATTATATTATGAAAAATGAAGTTTCAAGTTGTTATTATCATAAGTTAATCCAAAAATGTTTGTTAATATCATAGGTAATTAACATTGTCAAGTATAATCAAGTCTAATTGGGTCAGACCAAGGTTCATATCAATTGGGTCAGACCAAGGTTCATATGTCGACAGGGGCGTATCGGATGAATCGATACACATTTTTGTGCCTTTTTTTTATTTTTTTCGAAACCAGTTCAAGGGGRCCAGTTTAGGGCTCCTCCACCCCCTGAACCGGTCAGACCCCCGATACATCCACTATAGAGACATATCGGAAGGGTACCGAAATGATATATATCGACCAATACAGACCGATACGTATCGATACTTTAAACCTTGGGTCAAACCTAATTTTTCCCGATTAATAATTGAATCAGTTCTGACTCTATTCTGTCCCAATCGATATCAGACCCATCCGATTTGATAGCTCTAACAAATACACCGTGTGTGTACATTTTTCAATATTTTAGAAGTAACGAAAAGTAGATAGAGAACATTAAAAAAATATCTACTACTTTTTTTTGGATCTCATGCGACTCAACTTTATATAAAGAAAATCTTGTCTCATTTCTACTCCAAACCAAAACCATCTTGATGAGACAATAATGAACTTTACCTGAATAAAATCGCCAAAATGAGTGTCATTGATGGAACTAGATTGGCCATGGCAGATGCAAATGCAGATGAAGTAAATCCCATGCCAGCATAGAATGTTGTCATTGCAATTACGGGTCTGAAAAAACATATTATAATCAACATACATCACCTAACCCAAGTTCTCATATTAAGACTTGCATAGATATAAACATAAGAAAAAAAGTATCTATATACCAATGCATGTAAATTTTAGAAGGCCCACAAAAAATATGGCTCTTAGTGCTCCACACCAGTGATAAAATAGATGGGAAACTTGTTGCTACGAGCCACATATGTTTTATCATTGGCACTGAACTGAATAGCCTTCTTAACAGCCAATCACATTCAGCTAATCTGACATGAGTGGGCCCACTGGATATGCCACAAGCTCGATGAATTTGATAAAGTGTAGATCCCCTTTTCTACAGTGACACTAAGTTCATTTGGCTCCATCATCTATAAGACAGTAGAATAAAAAAGTATGCAAGGCTGTAGTGGGCCGAGGCTGTATCCAATTACATCAATACAGCCCTCTACTTCAGCTTTACACGTTAAGCCCACTTAACATGTGTGAGCCCTTAATAGAGACTCCACACTCCACAGTGGACAGTGGTGAGCCTCTACCCCAACCTTTTCGTCTTGCCACTCTCCTCTCTTTAAGTCTCCCTCGCCCCCCACAGTCACTGTCAAGATATTCCGGCCGGTTTTCTATTCACGGCGGAGGCTGTATATGTGCATGACCTTGGAAGTGTTGTTTGTCTTCCAAGAATACACAAACGCTTAAATTGGGGCCCGTCCTGATGCTCCCTCCATAACTGGTACTGGAGTCTTTCATTCTTCACCCAAACAGAAAAAACACAACGGAAAGCACAAGTAATCCACCCAAACTGCACCGGTGCACTCAGATAGGAGGTGCAATTTCACCTCATGTGAAGTGTCGCAACTTTCAGGCTAATGCTGATGTGGAGAGCTGTAACTATATATATATGACTATATGAGTGAGGAGTTATGATAGTAATTAAACACAGTCATCAGGTTTCCATTGTTGCATGATTGTCATCAAAATACTTACCCCAGAAGCCCCAAGATGAAGATATGGGTCAAGATTCGGAAAGTAATGCGAGGTCGATTTTTCCTGCAAGAATACAACGTAACTTAAATCAACCTTTGGTGGGTTTATCTCATTACAAGCAGACTACCTTGCTTTTAAGATTGATTTTTATTTTGTTCCTGATCAGAAAATTAACAAATGAGAAAGGAAAAAAGTTGTTGATAAACTTCATGAAATGCTTGAAGAATTTTCCACCAATTTCTTTTAATTTCCTCACTATTTTTTCTGATAAAACTAAAAATTAATAGTGTTGGAAAACCTTTCAATTATAAGGCTAAGTAGCACCCATGATTTTCAATGCATTATCATTGATTGGGAACAAAAAATCCTTTGTGATGTCTATGATCTTTCGATCAATTCAAACTTTGGGCCTTATCCCGTGTATATATCAGGGAATTTGGGTATGCTCAAAGCAAAAAAAAAGCATACAATCTAGAGATGTTTCTAATGTGTGATTGGATGTTGTTGTGCTCTTGGTGTATTTGTGAGATTTTTGCTCTTAGCAAATCCCATCTCATACATATATAGGACTGAACTTAGACATTGATTGTGAGAAAAGAAACAAAGAAGAAAGGAACCTTTCGAAGAGAAGTGCAAGAACAGCTGTGGTTAGCATTCCAATTGCATGAGCATAGACGACGAGGACATAACGGCTCATGCCTTTATTTAGAGAAACCTTGGAAACTATGTTAAACCCTGCAAAACAAGCGCTGCTAAATATGCTGAGAAAGTAAGGTTGCGATCTCTCCATGACTTTTATGCTCTCTTGCTTTCCTTCCATTTTATGTCTTTCACTTTGGGCATGGGCTTACCGCTTACATACATTATTATGCATGCATTTATATTCTTTTAATTTGAAAAAGTCGATAATACCTTTTCTTCTTTCCTCGTGGTGTGTTTTGGAGGATTTTAATTTACTATACCTTTTTCTCTATAATTCCTCCTTGATCAATAGATGATAAACTCACAAAGGGCCGCCCCACAGCAAATCCCTGCCGCGTATTAAAAATATCTCCCGATAATAATGGTACCAATCTCAATCTCAATGATATTAGAGATGTTTCCAATACAATACACAGCGGCGGGGATGTACGAGTGCTGGAAATGGAAATGTGTTGCGCAGCGTGAACTAAAACTTTTACTGTCTGCACATGAGACGTCACCCCCACTGATTTCCTTTTTTGTCTTCTTAATTAACTTAAASAATATTTGTCCCGCATCCATGTTAATGACGTCATGCATATGTAGGAAGAGCCCCAAACTGTACATCGATGATCGAGCTTTAGACAGAAAAAAAAAAAAAAAAAATTGTTTACTTTGGTTTGGGATTCTCTAACATGAGAGGTAAAGTCTTTTTTTAACTGAGGGACCCAGATATCCTGAATGCAAAAACAGTGTGAATACTCTCTGAGAGCATGGCATTTATGTGTAAAATTAAAAATGAAAACAAAAATCTATTAATTATACATTGATTCCTGTAAAACATATGTAAATAATTCGCTTGGCATTGGAACATATTATACCCCTCTGCCTTGTTTTGGCAAAACCTTTATTTTCTTTTTCTTTTTCTTTTACATTTACATTTGCATTTGCATGTAACCAAATGCATGCAGTAGTCTCTATCTATCTTGCTTTACGCCATATATGACTGCTGCTATCTATCAACACTCAACAATCAAAAATAATGTCTTAATTTAAATCTCCATATGTGTGAAGCCTGAGATCTCATCCATATTAATTACATTCTAACTTTTTTAAAGGATTCTCATTGCAATTAATAAAAGGATTCATAATCAGGCAGCCGGTTCTATATAGTTGTGATAAGGCATGGTGAGCAGAGAAGGGGTAACCATGGCAGCACATGAGCCATATTTTTATTCATGGATTGGATTGTAACATTTGTTTTAGTTTTAGATTAAATATAAATGGATTATATTTTTTATTGTTATTTGTTAATTTTAAACTTTTATGAATTTTAGTTATTATTAAGTGGATTTTAATTTTAGTTTATGAATTGCTATCTTCTAGTGATGCCTTATTTCTAAATGGATTTTAAATTATAATTTGAGTTCGACTATGATGCCGGAAAAGCATCATACAAGAAAAACTTATAGCTAACCAACTCACACCATAAAGTGCTAACCAATCAAGTCGGTTTTTATCAAAATTCATGGGGTCTTAATTGGTCAAAGCCCTTCCAGTATCATATCTTTCCACACTACATCCCAGTTTTTTCTTATAATTTTTATTATATTTATTTAAGTTTTATTATTTTTATTTTTAATTATTTTTTGTACTTTTAAATGGATTTTCGTGATTATTGTTAGATAAGTGTTTACTAATTTTTATTAGTGTCCTTTTACCAAAATTCCCCTTATAGTTTGCAAACCTATTTACCACCTAGAAGTGTGACTAGGAATGGCAACAGGTAGAGTATCCGTGCAAATTGTCCTACCCATTCCCAAACCAGCCTATGTATCCCTGATTCTAAACTCGTCTAACTTTAAGTCGTCTTGCCTTTTGTGTTATTTAATGGAAAATAATATATTTTATTAACTTTTGCGTTCATCAAAACAATCAATACATGTATATGATTAACTATTCCAACTAAAAATTAAAAGAAATAATATTTAAAATTAGCATTTTATAACTAAATGAAATAAACAATCTATCAAATCCAAATTTACATCAAATGATGATTTTAATCCAAGAAATTTATATAAATAAAATATTAATAATAGAATAATTATCTTAGTACTTAAAATTTATAAATTTGTGCATGATGTATAATATAATAGATTAATAGGTTCATACTTATGCATCCCGGTATTGGGTATCCAATGCCCTAAAGTCAAAACCCAAACCCGTCCCAAACTCTATAAGATTTTGATAAATGGGTCCTATTAGGGTCGGGATAGGTCAGATACCCAAAAATTCTCACGAAATTGCCAAATTGCCATCCCTAAGTGTGGCCATCTAAATATGTTTGTTTGGCGCTTCATGTTTTAGGTAGGGGTAATTTTGGAATAACTAGTGTTTTCTCTCCTTTATTTTAACTTTTTGGAGTTTTTCCTTTTCTCTTTTTTTTTTTGGGCAAATTATTGATTCCCCCACCTCCCAAATTTGTCATTGTTTGTAACAGTAGTGACAGGTGGGGGAATCTGACATAATTCAAGGGGGTAGGTGGGTGATAAGTGAGGATTTTACAAAATAAAATAATAAATAAATAAACAAATAATTGTGAGGTGGGGTATACTATAATTTTCACTTTTTTTTTTGTGATGAGATGAACAAAAATGAGATTGGAAGAAAGAATTAATATCAATTCACATGTATGAACTATGAAGTATGCTTTTTTTTGTTTGGTGGAATATGTATGACATGCACATGACATGTCATTCTTGGAAGAGAGAAAGAGAGAAGGTAAAAACACATGATTAGGCTTTGGAAGAAGAAATAAGACATTGGGAGAAGTGATTGTTTTGGCTGCGTTTGAAAACAATACAAATAGTGTAAATGCAAATTTACAGAGTGCATTTTGATCCATACAAAAGTAAAGTTGGGTTAGTTTCATATTGATGAACTTGCTTTCTTACCAACCAACTTTTAGCTGTAATGGATGTAAACACAAATACCAATAAAGTAATTTACCTTTTTTTTTTACAAAAGCCCACTTTGAATATAAGTCTACTTTTTTTTCCATTTAAATTAAAAATCTCATTTTACATTCATATTACAAACAACATTATAATCAATTTCAATCTGGTTTGTGTCACACTCAACCTGTTCCAAACACAGACCCATTGACAGAAGCTATGGTGAAAATCCCATGTATAACAGTACTACAAAAGCTCACCCTGAATCGTTCCTGATTRATCTGTTATAAAATCCCATGTATAACAGTATAAGGCATACCGAGACCCAGAAGCCTGATAGATAAACTATTTTCTTTCACCCTGTCAATTTTTGTGTATGTAATTTTACTCAACTTCCTTAGAAATTTATATGGTTCATTATATATTGATCATATATGAAATGATCATGTCCTAGAATCTCTATCGTGTCATGCTTGAGATTTCACAGTAGGAGTAGGAAAGAAAAGAAGAAATAGAAAAAGAAAAGGAATATCAAAGAAGACAAAAGTATATTGATTTTCTAATAACAAGCTTATCTAATGCGAAGGAATCATTCAACCTAAATGCACAAGCTGTTAAGTAAAGTCTGTTAAGTATGTTTTTATTCTCTAACATGCCCCTCACACGAAAGTTTATTGGGCTTGAAGCACAAACAAGTAACAGGCTCACCTATACCTTGTGCTAAAATTTAATCAGTTATAATATATGAGGGTAATGAGGATGAGACACTAGAACGCTTGGTCAAATAGACTTTGATACTGTGTCAAAAAATCGTTCAATCTAAAAGCTTAATTCGACAATGTCTAGTAGCCCACGGGGTCCAAGCATTGCAACAACATTATTTATCGACTGAAATAGAAAGGGAGACAATAGACAATGTCTTTGCACCATTGTGAAGGGCTAGATTAGATAATGTAAAGACAATGTCTCAATATTGGGAAGAAAAATATTAAGAAATCACCTTGATGGTTAGGATCATTGGATTGATTTGTTACATCAATTTGATGGGCTAAGATTAGATGAAATTTGATACACCATTTGGATGGTTGAGATTCATTGATTGATTTTAGGAGGCTTTTTTTTTATGTATGGTCCATATCTTAGGTCATATATCAGTATTTTATAAAATTTTTAAAATAGTTGAATTTCTGGGATTGGTGGAAATCTTTGTCATTCAAACATAGAGGCGTTCACATCTGTGCCCCACAACGGGGCACCCCATAACGTTTTATAGCACATCCTCGTCATGTATTAGGAATATTTTCTGATGATATACTAGAATAGATGATGTCATCATTGGGAGATGTTCCCAATGCACCGCAGGAATGTGCTGTGAGACGTTTGTGGAGTGTATATCTGAATTATGTGAATGAGCAATTTCATAATTTCCCACTCATTGATACTGGAAGGGCTTTGATCAATCAAAACCCCTTTGTGTATTTTGATAAATACCACTTGATTGGTTATCATTTTTACAATACCGATGAATTGATTACAAGTTTTTCAGGTATTATAGTCGAACCCTAAATAAGAGGTTTTGCCTTATCTGAGTTCCCAAAACAAACATTGCTAACCGATTATATGCCCACACTGCAAGAGACAAATTAAGCAATTGAGAAAAGGCACAAAAAAAAAAAAAGTTTAGAATTGAAGGTTAGTTTAAGTGATATACCCCCCAAACTATGGGGGTATGTGTTTGGGGTACCCTTTTAAAATGTATAGAAAAAATTAAAGCCCATTTTCTTGCCTGGAATTGTTTTCAAGATTGGGAAGGATTAATGCCTTATATGGGGTCCCAAAAACAAACACTGCAAGCAACTCATATACCCAGCCTAGACAGTGTAGGGCATACATTAAGTAATTGAGAGAAGGCATTAAAGTTTAGAATTTCTTTAACAAAACATTTGATATTCACCAATATTCTATCAAGGATTAGTTTTACCTATGCTATCAAATGAAAAGAATGAACCCTAATTAGATATTTTGATTGGTTTGCCTTTGTCATTAAGCAATGCCCTTGTCATTAATCAATTTGGAAAAAAAAAATGAATGACTTGAAATAGAAAATGATTTGAGGGAACCATCTAATGCAATTTATCTTCCACAATGTCAAACCTTGGCTGCTTGTTTGATCTAAGAAATTGTTTTTTTTTTTTTTTTTGTTTTTG